GAAGCCAAACCTGCTGCCACTTGGTCGATTCTAACTTATAACGACCCCATGAGACTGAGTTGAGCTACCTTGTGAAGTTTCCAAGACTGTTAGTCTTTGCAGAGGCGGACTGCTGCATCTTTGTCCCACGGAGGGGCTAGTAGGTGCAAGCCCTGGTCTTTTGGTTGTCAGGGGCTTGGGTGCTGCACCACCCATGTGTCCAATCAAAGAATTTTCCCACAAAAACAAGAATACAGAATTTAAAGTAAAAAAAGAAAAGTTAACAAAATGGCCCAAGTTCAACAAAAAAAATAGTAAAACACAAAATCAGAAGAGAAGAAGGAACAGTCCAAAGCAAAACACGAAGAGGAGGAAATTTCTCCAATGGAGACCAGAATAACGCAAAGAGTTGATCATTTTCAGACTTCAGTGCTAAATATATTTAAAGACAGCAAAAAGCACAGAGAAAACAAACTACTAGAGATCAGGAAGCAAATGGAGGAACAAAATAGGCTCAATGTTGGAATTGAAAATACCAAAAAATATATCCAAAGAGAACTACCCAAACTGAAGAATGAAACAACTGAATTAGGAAATGCAAGAGAAACACTTAACGATAGAGTTGAACAGATGGAAGGTAGAATAAATGAGCCAGAAGACAAAATTACTAAACATATCAAGTATCAGGAAAAATAAGAAAAGAACAAAGAAATGGAAACAAACCAATAGAAAATATGGGATTCAATTAAGGAATCTAACATTAGAATTACTGGATTCTCAGAGCATGATAACAGCAATAGACATAAAAAGATAATCAGAATTTCCCACATCTGAACAGAGAACAAAGCCTGCAAATACAGGCTTTGTTCATGAACCCCTATTAAAAGAGATACAAAAAGGTCATCTCTGTGCCATATCCTATTAAAGTTCTTGAAAACCAAAGACAAGGAGAGAATTGTGAAAGCAGCAAGAGAAAAACACAATATAACATACCAAGGTGCTTTCATAAAAATCAGTGCAGATTTCTCCCCAGAAACTATACAGGCTAGAAGACAATGGAGTGATACATATAAAGTTCTGAAGGAAAACAGTTGTCAATCAACAGTTCTTTACTGAGCAGAGTTGTCATTCAAAAATGAGGGGGAAATCAAGACATTTCCAAACAGAAGTTCTGGGGATTTGCCACCACAATACCAGCTCTAGGTATTACATCAATAAAGAAGATCACTAAGGACACTGAGAACTTAAATAAAACATAAGTCAATTGGGCCTAATGGATAGTCGAGACTACCCACCATCAGAACAATAAACATATTTCACCAGTGCACATGGAATGTTTTCCAGAATAGATTGTACACTAGGACACAAAACAAGTCTCAACAAACTTAAAAAGATTGAAATCATATAAAGCATCATTTCTTACCATAATGATATGATGCTAGAAATCAAAAACAGAAAAAATAAATAGGTAGAAACTAAATAATACACTACTAAAAAAAACCTGTTGGGTTACAGAAGAAATCAAAAGTACACTTAAAATTTCCTGAAATAAAATGAAAATAAAAACACAACTTGCCAGAACCTTTTGGACACCTCAAAGGTAGTACTCAGAAGAAAACTTATAGCAATAAATGCCTGCATTAAAAAAGACGAAAGATCCAGAATCATTAGCTTAAATGACTTGAACAAATGGGGGGAGGGGAGAACAAAAGAAGCCAAAAGCTACCAAAAAAAAGAGAAATAATAAAGATCAGAATAGATATAAATCAGAGAAACAATAGAAAGAACCGACAAAATTAGAAATTGGTTCTTAGAAAAC